ACCTTCCTGATCCTTTCCTAAGAGGACCTTCAACATGACAAAATGGGGGTCTGAATTCATGGCAGCTATCTTTTATAAGATAGTCAGCCAGGCAATCCAGAAAATGCTTATTTTCAATAGATGATCATCAAAATGAAAACAAAATTTACAATGGTCTCATAGAACTTTGGGGCCTTTGGAAACGGATAGCCTCCCTCATTTTGAGAAAATATTCCTTATATCATGAATGAATGAATTGGACCACCGAAAGCTTATCTGCCTCACTACTGCAATGCATTTAAAATCGCTTTTAAGTGCAGCCATCCCCTCAATGACACCACACAAACCATGTTAGGTGAAATCAAAGATGCCACTAATCATAAAATGTCATCATTTTACATACAAAGAGCAAAGAAAAAATGATAATTAGAATCTCTTGATATTAGAGATGTTAAAATGTGGTAAACAACGTGGGTCTTAGCATGGATGGGAAATCCCAGGGTAGGGTGCATTCATTAAGAATAGGGTGCTCTAACTTCCAGGCTTGGGTGGATGGCAGTCCTGCTCCGTAGGAGCTGTGGGACCTTGGGCAGATCACTTCACCTTGCTGTGCTTCAGTATCCTTATGTGATCTTAACAAGGCCTACTTCTCACTAAATTGCTGTGATGTTACAGTATTTAACATGTGCCTAGCACTTATTAGATGTCTGATTGCTTCTGTTACCATAAATCGGGCAAGAGTGGAGTCATTAAGTTAACAAATCTTAAATGGTTTTCTTTAATCTGAATGAGTTCACCCAGTCTCAGCTGCCAAACTTATAGACATTGTTTGAAATAAGTGGAAACAGCTTTGCTTCCTTAGTGCCTTAGCTCTCTAGAAATGAAATGAAATAATCTAAAATGGAGTCAAAGCATCTCCTTAAACTGAAGAATCACTCAGAGCCCTAAGGAGCCAATGACTCAAACACCATGGGTGATAGTTTGCATATTGCTTTGCGTGACATTTGCATGCTACCAATTCTTTTTCGCTTGAAGTGAAAACCCGCCCACCATCTGCTTCTTTCCTAGTCCTTCACGATCCCCTAGGTGTTCAGTTGGCTGCCTATACCTAGGAAAAATAAAGCAACTGTCATGCATCAAGTAGTTATTGCATGTTCCTCTCTGGCTGGTTAGCTCAGCTGAAGAGAGAAGGGCAAGTCTGTCCCAGACTCTGCACCAGTCACCTGGCATCACCGTGGACCATCCTACACCAAGGGTAATCACTGACTCAGAAACCACTAAGCCACAAACAACATGAGGCAGCTCTTCCTGAATACAACCCCTGACACACATGTGCCTGATGGTGAATCAGATCATTCATAGCTCACTACTTAGCTCAGCAAATAGTTCCTTTTTTTTTTAAAGATTTTATTTATTTATTTAATTGATAGAAAGAGATACAGCGAGAGAGGGAACAAGTAGGGGGAGTGGGAGAGGGAGAAGCAGCCTTCCCGCTGAGCAGGGAGCCCGATGTGTGGCTCAATCCCAAAACCCTGGGATCATGACCTGAGCCGAAGGCAGTCACCTAACCAATTGAGCCACCCAGGTGCCCCAGCAAATAGTTCCTGACCACAAGCAGCTTCTGAATCAAACCAGAGTGAAACTTCTCTTCTCTTGAGTGTGAAGAATTACGGGGTAGTGAACCTACGACAAAGATTTGCTTTTGCTCTCAAAGCTGTCAAGATTTAAAGTAAACATACAGCAGCCAATACCTGGCAATAAAGAAGAAAAAACAGCACCTAATTAATCAGGGACCTGTTGCTAGAAACCTCTGTCAGCTCTAATCATCTGTTTAAATTCAGCCCTCAGATTCATGACTACTTGCCCATAAGTGATAATGGACTTACATTTATGTAAGTCTGATCAGAATTCACTTAGTTGCTGTTTCTTGGGAATAACTGAATATTTTTTTGTAAACTCAAATACCTATAATATATTATTAGTACATAAACTAGGCAGTGATCCTACTTAAGATGATACTGAACATCTGTTGTTCACACAAGAGTTGAAAACAGCACCCTAATGAGTAAGTGTCCTGTAAGTTATCCTTTAGATCGTGCATACAAATAACAACTCCTATTGCTCTTAGGTTTCTATAGGACATATGACCCACACATGAACAGCAAACCCAACCAATCAGCCATAAAACCCCAAATTCATATCTGGATACTGGAGCTGGAACACTACACATGTAATTAAACTTAGCAGGTTTTTAAAGATACTATTTTATCATAGGATAATTTGTACGTGTGTGAACTTTATAGCTTTAATAAGAATAAAAGTACCTATTAGACATTTCAAATTATTGCGAACAAACTTGTAAAACATCAGACTTTTATCAACACTTAGGAACACGGGACCTGTGTTATACTGTTATTTCAGAAACAACTCTAAGAAGGATAAAAATTACCCAAAAAATCAACAAGTATAGCATTACTTTACTTTCCAAAAGTGTCACTCCTCATGGGATAACCTATAGGATGCCAAAAACTGTAGGTTTTATCTAGTCCACCACCACCATTTTTATAGATGAGGAGTTCAAGATCTGGTCCAGAAATTGGCACTTTAAAAACAAAATTGGGGAGGGGCGGGAGAAAAGGATCCCAGAAGAACAGTACTTGCAACTGGCAGGTCCAGACAGGGCCCTAGAACCTCTGCGAAGTGGGGTCGAGGCCGTGGCTGGGTAAGTGGCTGCGTTAAAGAGCTTGGAGCCTGGAAGAGGAGAAGGCACAGGGGAGGATAACCCAACATGGAGATGCTCTGGGCCCAGAAGCTGGGTTACCTTCTGAGTCGGAGATAGTCTGGTGCAAGGTGCTTCCCTGGGATGAGGGGTGGACCTGTCCCCAGGGAACAAGGCATTCTGGCACCTCCCTACTCACTGAAAGGGCTAGAAAAGCAAAGTCATTACCAAGGGCGTGGAGCTAGCCATAAAGACAAAGGACTATGAAAGCAACAGCTCAATCACTGATTCAGTCTCCCTCCAAGCGGAAGGGCATCACCTCCTGATCTGCACGAAACACAACGGGCCCATAGGCCAGCTCCTCAGTGCCTGTCTTAAAGGCCCCTGAAGATTGGGGATTCCTATTTTTGAGAAGCTCAAACCCTGGGGTGGAGAAGGAAAGGAGAAGGAGCAGCTGTGCTGACTACCCTCCACTGCCCCAGAGATGCCGTCTTGGTCTGTGTGCATGCCCTGCCTGGCTGACCTCTAGGCCCACTACTCTCTGGGCTACTTGTCACCTGGCTCTCAGCTGGGCTCCCAGCTGGGCTCGTCCATTGGGAAGCCCTGGCAAGAGATGGGGGGAGGGGGAGAATGGGAAGAGAAAGAAGTCCAAGTGTTTGGTGACCCCACTCTCCTGGGCTCTGCTGTAGTAAATCCTCCCTGGGCCCTTGCAGGCTTTAGGTGGTAAATGTCTGCCTGAGCCCTAGCGCTCCTAGCAGGTTTCCTTTCACTCCTTCATTCAGTTGACCCACCTGAGTAGGAGTCTATCGTCTGCCAGGAGTCTGACATGACACTAAAGAATAGAAGCCATGGGACACACACGGTATCCTACAGACACTCCACTTACCCAGCACAATGTTATGTTGACATGGAGATATCTTAGAGACTTTAATGGAAATCCACGTACACAGTGAAAAGAAACAGACCTTCAAAACCCATCAATTGTCCAACCCCAAATACTGCTGCCTTGGAAGTTCACTCTCTCTGACTCTGGGCTCTTCAGTGGGAAGACCGGGAAAGGATGCTTAACTAGAGGGAATGAAGACCCCCACAGGCTCTCCAGCTTTGTAAATGGAAGTAAAAGTAAGGTAAATTCCACTGCTGCCTGAGGGAGTCCCTCTTCAGCCAGGACCTGATGTTGACAGGGAAGGGGGGGGATGTGGGGCCAGACCTGGAGCAGGGCCAGGGCAAGCAGGGATGCTGGAAGAGGCATGTGACCCAGAGGGAGGGGACTGAGGAATGAGGGCATCCTAAGACCACAGACTGTGCAGGGAAATCACTCGTCCTCTGAGGACATCTTGCAGAGTCCAGTACTCTTGATTGCTTTCAAAACAAAGAGTCTTTAGCAAGAAGCCAACATATGCTGTGAATAAAGGGGCAGAGACGTATGTAAAACATATCAGAACACTTTTCACAAAGTCTATAATTGTAAAATTCCCTGCACCTAAACGGAGGACACATCAGTATTTAAAATAAAAGCCAAGTTCATCTTATTCCCGGTAATGCTGGATAGCGTAGGGGTTAACCATAATCTCTTGGCCAAAATTCCTTTCAGTTGAGCCCAGAAAAGAGGAGAATACAGCCTCTGAGGGCTTGCGCATAAAAGGAGAAACTCATGGGTTTCTGGGAGGGGACAGAGCGAAGTCACTGAGCAGAAGTGGAACCAGCTGGGGAGCCCTCCCGGGTCCCTTCCAAACACCCCTTCATTCAAATCCCTCTCCCCCCTCCTCTCACTCTCATGGTTTATGCTTCTGCAGTCAAAAAACATTTGGATACTACCAGTTTAGATTGGCCACAGGTAGTAATCACAGGTATATAGATTCATCACAAGTATATACACAAACTGTTACCATGGGCGAGTAGAAGACAGCCTTTACCTTTTCACACCAGCCTGATAATTCATCTTTTTTTTTTTTTTAAAGATTTTATTTTTTATTTGACAGAGAGAGACAGCGAGAGAGGGAACATAAGCAGAGGGAGTGGGAGAGGGAGAAGCAGGCCTCCCGCTGAGGAGGGAGCCCGACGCGGGGCTCGATCCCCGGATCCCAGGACCACGACCCCAGCCGAAGGCAGACGCCTAACGACTGAGCCACCCAGGCGCCCCCTGATGATTCATCTTAAATGCATTTTATTCAGATGTAGAAGGATCCCCGTTCTCAATATCTAATCAACATCTATTGCCAACAATTTCATTCTTTTAAGAAAGACAGAAATTATCGAAGGCATTGGAAATCAGTCAGAGCCAGGCAGAGAATCTGCTTACCTGCTATCCCCAGCATTTGCCACATACAGCTTCCCCAAAAGGCAAACCACAATGAGCGCCGTGCAGCCACCAGATATATTATACGAGCTCCTCTCTCGTTCTATTTGTAGGTCCTGGAGAAGGAAACAAGGTCAGTGTTGGATTGGGTGGGAACTCTTATCAAAGACTTTCTCAACCTCACTCCCTTACACAGCTCTCAGCGTCTATGCTTCAAAGACGGGACAAGACAATCTTCAGCACCTTCTATCACCTGAAGAGCATTTCTCACTGAGGACACCAACATAAAACTGTCGTCTGCTAGACCATCTGTAGGCCAGAGACAGGAAACAAGGGGTGGCAAACAGATCCAATCAGAACAAAAACGAGGACAAGAAAATCAGCTGTATTCAACAAATACAACTTGTGGAAAATTTAGTCTTTGTAGAGACCACCTGAGCTGCCACATGAGCAATACAATCGACAGGCTGATAAGGCCAAGTACGTGAACCTGAGCAATGTTTTTAACCCCAAAGTCTCCCAATAAATAGCTGCTTTTACAGCTAGATAAGAGAAGTGACTTGAAGGACGGTGTCCTCTATTCAAAGCAGGCAGGGGAGTCAACCCCCTGTCTTATTAATCAAAGACAGAAGCTCCCAAACTCTGATCCGACTTCATCTTCCCCCAGCCACTGATTCACAACAGGGACACACATTCACAGCGACAGCCAACATTCACTGAGCACGTCTTCTATGTCGGGCAGGGCGCGAAGCGCTGTACATAGGGAATCTAGCGGATCCTCACAACCCTATTATCAACCTCAATGTTCGGATGCAGAAGGAGGGTAACTTGCCCATTTTTACCCAGTTGGAGTTTGGATTTCTGGTTCTCCTCCTCCAAAGCTTATTATTACCTGCCACCTAATGAGGCCTCCCCAAGAAAATGAAAAATAGACCAAGACTTCCATTGACAGACAATGCATCATCCAAGACAGAGGTCTTTGTGAAATTCTATGTCAGCGACAGAAGCACGGTTCCATGACCTGAGAAAAATGTGAGCTGAGCTAGGAAAACAAAATGAATGTCGGCTAAAATAATGCCCAACATTCCCATGGTAATCGACGGTTGGGGCAAAGGGAGGGATGAGGAAGCGGTGCTCCAGCTGATTCTCAGGATGCCCCTGGCTGGTTCTTAGAAACTCACAGAGTTCAAACTCTGCTGCTTTGACCAGCCTCCTCACAGAGAAGGGAAGAGATAATCCAGTAAACCAGCATTTATCAGCAAATGCGTGGTGCCAGAGGCCAGAGGTGGTAATACAAGGTCAGATAAATCACCAATGAGAAACTGGAAACAGGAGAAGAGCCAGAGTCAAGGAGACAGATGAAGATCAGCATACTGTTAAAAAGGAGATAAAAAGTACAAAAACAGGATCTGGGAGAAACTAACTTACTGGGGATCAGCCCAGTAAGGCCCACAGGCCACTACCTGTGGCCAATCTAAACTGGTAGTAACTGTAAGGGGGAGGGGTGGGGGAAGGCTGAGGAACCATGGGTAAGGGGTAAGAATGTGTGTATATGGGGTGCGGTAGTTAAGAAGTGAAGAAAAACTCCAGTAAGGGAGTGAACGGACATCGAAAGTTACAGAATCAAGCATGAGGACCACCTTTGAAGACTATACTGGATTTAAAAAAATGTACTCAAACCCTCTATCAATTAGTTTCTTAAAGGACTATTGTGAGGATTAAATTGGATGCTAAGTGTGAGGGGCTTGGCTGCCCATCTAGATCCTTTCCAGGGCCCAGAAGTTTCATGACTGAGAGCAGAGACCTCTCTTGCTCGCTGCTAGACCCTTAACACCTACACCAGGCCAGGTAAAAAAGATATTTTAATAAATATCTGTTAAAAATGGGCAAATGAAGAAATACATTTAAAGATGCCCAGGTTTCCGAATTATGTCCTCACCACCTGACCCCTGTTCATAATTCACAAAGGAAAAGCTTACAGTGCAAATAAATGCTCACTGAGATGATGATTAAGCAGGAACCCATGCCTCAGTTCAGATGCAGCCAATTGACAAGAATGAATGAATGGTTACCAGAACCTGCACAGGGATGGCAGGAGCCTGGAGGGTGAGGAGAAAGAGGGGCACGGATACCAGCCAAAAAGACTGTAACGAGGAAGTGAAAGGGAAAGAAAACATCAAGTTGTCAGAGTTTTGTCTGTTTAACCTCCAAACAATGCATAGAAACAGAACCAACAACCCAGTTCACAAAGCAGTTTGTGGATGGATGTAGTCCCTTTCTTTAGCATTTAAATAATATAAAGCTGATGTTATGATAGACGCGTATTTCATCAAATTAATATATAAACTGGTATAGCAAAAGTCCACGTTCAATACTACTACTCCACGACTGTTCTTAACATACTGGAAGGAATTGCTGAAGATAACAGAAAGTATCCTTTCATATCCAGAATCAACATTTGTTTGAATACCTAATGTCTGAATGAAAGACAATTTTTATTTAAAAAAATCCCTTGAGCATCCAACTGCTTGCATGCTCCTCAACGGCTGGAGTGTGCACAATGCTCAAAAGACTGAAATCACTGGTGTCATCCAAAAGAAAATGCTATGATACACAGAGTCCAAGTAAAAGCACCATCCAGGGGCATCTGGGTGGCTCAGCCATTGGGCGTCTGCCTTCGGCTCGGGTCATGATCCCAGGGTCCCGGGATCGAGCCCCACATCAGGCTCCCTGCTCGGCGGGAAGCCTGCTTCTCCCTCTCCCACTCCCCCTGCTTGTGTTCCTGCTCTCGCTGACTCTCTCTGTCAAATAAATAAATAAAATCTTTAAAAAAAATTAAAAAATAAAAAAAAATAAAAGCACCATCCATGGCAAAAATGTCCGTTGGGACTCAGACAAGTTTATTCTGCATCACAGGTGCATTATTTATCATGGTTAACATCATAAGAAAATCTGATTATGAGATTATTGAATTCTTAAAAAAAAATCAAGAGAGGAATGTATGTACAACACTATGATTTTCTGCTATGGCAGAGTTCCTATTTGCCTGTAACCCGGGGGGAAACGCTCCAGTTAGTTTGCCCAATTAATCCCTTGCTATTACATGAATAGTGTGATTCCATATTTTTTTCTAATTGATTCCATCATTTCTTTCATCTTTTCCTATAGTTCAACTACATTCCCTCTGTAGTTTCCCCAGCATAAGGAGCTAAATTTGGCAGCACTGTCACTTAAACAGTGGACTAATGTCTAGCTACTTTGTATCCAGGAAACTTTGCTAATATGTTCATGCTTTCATCACCCCCCACCATTTGTGTGGTAATACACGTGTGTGTGTGTGTGCAGATGCACGTGTGCGCACACACGCTTTAATTACATGTGTGCTCTCTGGGATTTGAAAGATCCCAGACTTGGTGACTAGGATTTGAAAGATGTGTTTCCATAGACTTCATCCCCCTGAAGGATTCACTGACATTAAAATACACTCTTCTATTTCTTCTAAAACTGGGTGTAACTAGAACATATTCTAAAAATAATTGCTTCCCCTCCCCTCCCTAGAAGCCAAAATAGCACATTTATTTTTTCCTACACCACCTACTCCTCTTTAAAAGATGTTTCACAAAATCTTAGTACTGAAAGGAACATTAAAGGACCATCTGCATGGTTCTTTTACTACCAGATCAAACACGATAAATGAAGCCAATAAAGATATTTACTGCTGAATTAACTACCCATTTTCTTCAAACCCTCAACTTTTCCAATTAGCTTAAGCTACTCACACTTTACATAAAAAAAATATATGCATATATATATGTATAGTATAGTTACTATTATATTTTGTAAAACCTCAGGTTTGGGTATATTTTCAAAAAAAATCAATGAAATCATGGGAAAAACTGGTCACTGTTTTGTGCTGAACAAGGACCAATTTGGAATATTTCCCCATTATTGCTGTCAACAAACCCCAAGACATAAATCTAGAATAACTTACCACCAAAACACATGCATGTACTATCATTCCTTTTCAAGTATAATCTAAAAGGACCAACTTACACATTCATAATATTCAATTAACAAGCTAATTGTTTTATCCGCTTGGTCAAGGGTCCTATAGACCTCTCAAGGCCACCTTCTATTTAGCAGGACTGATTTGTCCTGTGTTGTGTCTGTCTAAATACTACATTTAAGCCAGGTTTATCTCTAAATCTTAAGAATGGATCCAATTTTTAAAGACTTGGGATTTCATTTTGCTCCTTTTTGTTTCAAGGCAGGCAACGAAGGAAAAGAAGAGATGTGTGAAATGAGACTAATTCAGCAGGAAAGAACTGCAAGAGAGAAAATATATTGCTCAGGATGGTTGTAATTTGGTTTGAAAGTCCCAGAGATGACTCAACTCCAGGATCATTCTTTGTTTCCTACCAATTTCAGGTTGCAAAAGGACAGCAACATCAGGCAACGGAAGGGAGTGAGCGCTGGGTAGTTTCAATAGGCCTTGGCAGCTCCCCATAAATGGGTTAAAACACGGTTCTGAGCACATTGCTAATAGTGTCAGTCACAAATAATAAGATTCTGCATGGTTTCAGTATCTGGGTCTGATTTTGGTTTATTCTGAGAACAAGCCAATCTGTCAGCCAGGCAACAGGGAGGGAAAAAAAAAACCAGTACTGCCTCATGTTGCCACCTGCTGGCTGTTGGTAGAATCACATGTTCATTCCTTGGAGGAACTTCCTGTTCTACCAAAAACAAAGACAAAACAAAACTAGCTTAATTAAACACAGACACACATGCAGGTCCATAACTTACCATGAATATGGTAATTTTTGAAAACACTAGGATTTATAAACTATAAATAAGCTTTGCATTTATCCTCTTTTTCACCAAAGTGTCACCATATGGGTTTTTTTTTTTAACCAATAAATCCAAGCTGAGTGCTATTTCCAGTCATTAGCTCAGTAACAGGAAGATGAATGGCAGTTTTACAAGTGCAAATACTGCCGTTTTCTTCCTTCGTAACAACCAAACTTCTAAAATATTCTTCACTCTGGCAATGGATCCATACCCACAGTGAAAAGGAAACAGGACAGAATTTTGAAATTCCTCCTGCCTTTTGTCCAGAACTCAAATTCTATAGGTAGTAGGCAACAAGGCTCACCTGTGCTGACTGGGCTGTGATTCCTATGAAAGCAAGGGTTTTGTGCAACTAGACCAAGAGTGAGCTACCTCCCTCACGAGTGTGAAATGCTGACGATGCGACCCCATTTGGGGGAGGGTTGGCAAGCAAGGAGAAGACTGACATCGGGAGGGAGAAGACAGTTACCATATTCGCATCTATCATTCGGGGCCCAGCAATAGCCTAACACCACAGGTGACAAAACTCAGCCGATGAAGTAGGCACTGTGACAAAGTGCCATGGGGAAGCAGAACGGAGTTCAGCTCAGAAGTTCCCGAGATTCTGGTCCTTTAGGAAACCGTGGTTCGTTTTCCACAGCGGACACAGGAAGAATGGACGATGCAGCCTTCTCAGTATGAAGGAAGATCCAAAACAAGATGCAATAAAGGGGGCCCAAGGGCAAACGTGCCTCCTCCGGAAAGCACAGGAAGGATCAGAGGCCAGGGGTCAGAGGTCACCTTCACCACAAGCCACACGCTGCGGGCAGGCAACTGGAGGATCAAAGAGGAAAGGAAAAGCAGTGACCTCAAAGCAGCTCACGGTATTTGATGAAACTGCTCTCATCTCCACTGGTTCAAAGCGTTTTCTCCACTTCTGGTAGTCTGTATTTTGCAACAAGTACCTACTTTTTCCTGGAAATCAGTGTTGTTTATTCTATTCTAGCATGGTGTTTCTACGTCTTTTCAACCAATCCTTCCTTTCAGATAAGTATCTGCCTTTCACCACCTCACTTCATGTCACTTAGAATATCAAAATAAATGAGATATCATATCTCTATATGCATATAACGTGTGGCTCCAGATGCCCCCAGACATAAAATCTAACCTTTTATTTCTAGACCCCATGGTGTCTAGGAGAATGCTAGCTATAAAACAGAGGCTCAATAAATACTAGTGATTGCGGACACCGCAGGGAGAGAAAAAAGACCTTTGATTCTAGGTTGCTAAGCTGCTGTACATAAAGCAAAAACCCAAGTGAAAGGCAACCTTTGCCTTTAAAGATACTGTAAGTGACTTCTGAATCTCAGGAAGGGTAGCTGCAGAGATGTCAACATAAGGCAAATTGGAGGCCTAGGTGCTGGGCTTGGGGAATCTTTAGGATGAAAAGTGCAAGAGAAAGTAAGAAAGCCACAAAGCTGAAATAACGGAATCTTATTTAATACTGAGTTTTTCTACTACAGAGGATCAGAATGGCACAAAACCTGCAATACCTAAAGAACACCTAGAAAGAGGAAAGCTAGAAAGTGGCTGGCTCCTGTGAGGAAAAAATTTAGGAATGCCCGGGAAATTCCAAATGTGTCCCGCTCTGAAAGGCCCAAGAAGAAACCAGCAAGACCACGCCAACAAGGTAAGGAAATCAACAGCATTTTAGGCATTTCAAAAAAACCAAAGTTTGCCTTCAAACACTGACTCCCAAAAATGTAATATTGCAAGGGGGAGTAAAGAAAGAGGATCTTCTACGAGTTGGCAATGGCCTTCCAGGCCATTAAATTGAAGGTACACTGTAATTTCTGTGTTGTGGGTTCTAAAGCTCACAGCAAGTAGCTTAATGTTTAAGTCGGGCACATTTCCATGACACTGAGCAGATTTTTCCTGAAGTCCCTCATGAAGCAAAGAAAAAACAAGAGCCTCTCTCTGTAATAAGACATCATCCAAACAGGGACACTTTTGAGAGTAAAAGGGGACAGTATATTAATAATTATTCTGGGCCCAAAGGCACCGACTGGCTCAGTCCCTAGCAGGTCAGAAGGTAGGATACCCTACAAACACCATGCAAACCAATGATGAATATTCTCATTTAATAAGTCCAAGCACATGGTACAATGCCCAGGTAGGCCTCTGGCATGCTGGTGGCTAGAGAGACAATCTGGGAAAAACGTAAGTGTGAAGAAAAAGCCACAGGCTGGGATGAATTGGAGATGAGATATAGCTTAAAGCCAAAAAATTCATGATGTGGTACACCAGGTCCTTGCAGACTACCTCTCCAATTCACCTTCCATCCATCATTCCTACCCCTGACATCAGCTTGTTGCCTTAGGCCCATCTGGGTTCTCTGATGTAGTTGTCCATGCAAATGGCCTCCTGTGTTTTGTCTGCTTCATTTTTAACTCAATTTTTATTTTTATTACCTCATTTTTACCTGAATTAAATATTTAGCATTCTGAACATCGGTGTCGAGAAACACTTATTCCCATCAGAGCTTCTGTAACAGGTTGGGAATGAGATTTTATACGATGCCTGAGTAGGAGTCAATTTTACTACCTTGATTCCTTTTTTCCTAAATAATCTACACCCCAACCCCCAGCATCACTTCCCCAAGGGAGCCCTTCGCTTCATGTCTTTATTGGGCTCCTACTTCACCCTGCATTTCTCCACTCAAGGCCCCTTCCACTTATATTTTACACTTAATACTCATCTTTGCCTGGTTCAATGTTCTTTTCCAAATTAGTCCTGGCACAGTTAATTCTGATCAAATATTTATTGACTGAACAAATTACATAGGAAAGCGAAATGATCTTTTTGCTGGCTAAGTTTCCAAGGTAAAAATTCCAGGTTATAAACTGACTAGTTAAAGCTGGAGAAATTTAAAAGACAAGAATAAGGCCCTTTACTAAATATTTTTTTCTGAATGAGCCTCTCATTTCAAGTACAGTCGTTGCTAGTAACCCCAAGCCATTAATGGGCAGAAACAGAGACCACTGTAGAGGCCTGCCTCAAGGTGACATTGGCCTCTAGTGGATAGAATTGAGAATACAGCAGGTCCAAGTAAAAGATGTCCCAGGGCAAAGCAATTACAGAAGGAAATGAGAAACCCAAGGTTTCTTTTGTTTTTCACTTGTCATGTCAGCTGATTTTTTATCCCATTAAGAGAATAAACTACTGTCATATTTTTACCTCAATTAAATATTTAGCATTCTGAACATCGGTGTTGAGAAACACTTATTATCAGAGCTTCCATGACGGCTGGAGAATGAGATTTTTATACGAAGCCCAAAAGGAGTCAACTTCACTACCTTGATTCTTTTTTCCTAAATAATCTTCTTCAGTTTCCTGGTGATTTTCTCGGGATTGAAGGCTACCAGACACCCCTGAGAGACAGCTGCATTTTAAATCACCTGCTAGTCAAAGGGTAAATACCTACGTGCCAAGGAAACACGATGACCCAAGAAGGGATGCATAAAAGTGAGGACAGGGTGCAAATACAAGGTGCGAACATATAAACTATTTTGCCTTACAAACAAATCAGACGGTGCGGCATTGTGCAACACTATTACTTTTTTCTCCTTAGCACACAACCTAATCCTGGAATGTGCGTTTTGTGTACACTCTGTTCTGGGGACATGCTCCTAGCTGTTCCTGCTTCATTTAACAACAACTTGTCATCACTTTTGAGTGTCCAGGATTTTGTTGTTGTTCTTTTTAAGATTTTATTTGAGAGGAGACAGAGAGAGAAAGAAAGAAAGATCACGAGCAGGGGTGGGAGGGGTAGAGGAAGAAGCAGACTCCCTGCTATCAGGGAGCCCCGATGTGGGGCTTGGTCCCCAGCCGAAGGCAGACGCTTCACCGACTGAGCTGCTCAGGTGCCCTGAATCTCCAGGTTTTAAGAACAATCCAGCACACTCGCTTTACTCACATCGTTATCACATCTTTAAATATCTCTTCTCTATTACTTGCACGCAGGCTGTTGCTCAGGAAAGAAAAATGTCTTGAACCAAATAACTGCGTCAGTAGAGAGTGAGCTCAGAGAGGGAAGGGGGTGGTACAGAGGGTGGTCCCTCAGCAGGCGGAGGGACAGGGGACACGGTGAGAGCAGCTGCAGTCTCTCCTCTACAAGTGTTTGTTCTCAGCACTGAGGCTGGGAGGGAAGGAGGCCGAATTCTTTGATCAGACACATCCAAATTTAAACGTACAAACAAATCCATGTTCCCCAGTAAAGCCGGTGATCTTGGATATTGGCCCCTTGATTCTCCTTTTTTCCTTTTATTATTATTATTTTTAAAGAGTTTATTTATTTATTTGACAGAGAGAGACACAGCGAGAGAGGGAACACAAGCAGGGGGAGAGGGAGAGGGAGAAGCAGGCTTCCCGCGGAGCAGGGAGCCCGATGCGGGGCTGGATCCCAGGACCCTGGGATCATGACCTGAGCTGAAGGCAGATGCTTAACGACTGGGCCACCCAGGTGCCCCTATCCTGTTTTTTAAAGCACCGAACCACCTGGCCAATCACGGTAAAATCAGATTTGTATAGGAAAGGTGCTTCCCAGCACCTGACTAAAGCGGTTCCCCCCAAACACCTGGAATCCACACACGTGTAACACTGATGGCAAGTACGCGCACATTTCAATTAAGTGGAATCTACCAGCTGGCACCAATGAGTGTGCAGAAAGAGAAGCAGTAATGCCTGCTTTTAAAAGCCTGTCACCTCGAACACTGTCCCTCCCTTTCATCTTCTTAATTTTTGCCCCACGCCATGCCAGGAACTCTTTCTACCACCCTCTACTGAGAACGGAGGCCCTCTGATCCGAGGGAGAAGGCGAGCGCAGCCACACAACCAGAGGCCGGGTCGGGGACGCACCCTCCCAGGGAACCTTCCACGGAGCACGGCTTCGGCTCAGGCGGCCGCCTCCACGCCAGCCCCCGGACCCTTCCGCCATACCTACCATTGCCTTGAACGCACTTTCCAGAGCCCCGATGACCAGGCACTCGTGCGCAATCTTCTTCTCGGTGAAGAAGCGCGCGGGTGGGGTGCCGGGGGAGCCCGGCGCCCCCACGCCTCCGCGGAGCGAGGCGGCGCGGGTCAGAGTCCGGCTGTTGACGGGCGTGTTCTCAGGCTCCTCGCCCAGGCAGGTGGGCGGCAGGACGGCAGAGTTCTTGAGAATCTCCACGATGTCCCGCAGCTGCTCCGTGACGTGGTGCTGCAGCAGGCGGGAGGCCACCACGGCGGCCCCGGACCCTGCGTGACCGTCAAACAGCGACCAGTAGTGACAGGAAACGCCTTCTGATTCCTGGGGGAGGGAGGCGACAGGGGGTGAGAACCTCAGTGGTCAGTGCCCCAGGGTCACACTGACCCAGCGAGGCAGGGCGCTCAGCGCAGCCACTGGGTGATCTGTCTCTGGTTGGCCAACGGGGGGGGGGGGGGGGTCGACACATGGCAAAAAGGCTCAGGGATGTGTCACCGCTGGGACCACCGCCCGAGGGATGGAGCGGTCCTTGCCTCTCTGCCTGGGGGGACGAGGCCAAATAACCATGCAAGCTCAGCTGACTACTTTGTGGCAAGATCCACCTTGATTTGATGTATAGATGTTCGAGGTAGAACTCCATGCCAACAGGTAAGTCTTTAGGAGTCCAGCTTTAACCCCTAACTCGTCCCTTCCCTCTGCAACCCCAGAGCACGCTTGGCCTGGAGTCTTTGGAGGAAGTCAAGCTCTTTTTGTAGATTCTTCAAGGGGAAATAAGTAGACCCATTTTTCCCCTTGAGAGCCTTTTCACTCTCAGATAACTGACCCATCCTCTTTGGTCTACATCCTATATTTTTAGAACACGTTTTCCCCTTAGACACCCAGTCTAAGATGCAGCCAGTTCAAACCTCCTTCTCCTCTTTCCTGCCTACCTCAGTTTCCCAGCTGGTACTCAGCATCTTTGTTTCCTCTTCCGACCATAAAGCTTCCTACCCTAAAACACGTTCCCATGTTCCCTCATCTACTGTGGATTTCGTCTCGCAGTTATTTCTAGACTATTTCAAATGAACGTTTTTAAAAACCATGTTTGAATTACACATGCCTAAGATTTTAGCTATAGAAAAAAAAGAGCTTAAATTAAATGCATTAATTAAATAGGTAAGATGCATAGGTAATTAAACAGGGTGCATATAACATCCTCTTCTGACTACTAGGCATATCTACCCCACAGCAATAAATATTGAGTCCTTTTCTAGCTAAAGCCATTAAATAAAGTTCTTTTGGTCTATCTTAGAATGATGCTGGAAGGTACTGTATAGTTATGGTGACATATACCATTACTCCATCTGTGCCCTTTAAATTTCACTTTCATTCAATTCTGTGCCACGTGCTGAGAAAAAAAGTTGATTTTTAGTCAATAAATACTGAACGTTCCCTATGCGACAGGTGCAAAATGGACACTGGGGATAAAAAATGGCTGGAAGAGAGATCAGATATGGTCTGATCTTAATAATCCAGTGGGGAAGACCCATACTGATCAAATAATCACACACACAAATATAAGCTCACAATTCTGGTCATGGCTATAAGGAGAGGTTCTTGGTTCTTGGTGCTACGCGGCCAGCTTGCAGAGGGGCACGTGGAGGTTTCCTGGGGACATGCAGGGTAGCCTAAGAGCTGTTTGGAAGTTCACAAGATTATGAGGGGAAAGGAGAGACCACCAGGCAGTAAAGACAGCAGATGCCAAGGCCCTGTGGTAGGAAGGTGCATGATGCATGAGAGGAGACAGAACCATACCATGTGACTGAATAGAGGCATGAAGCAGGAAAAGGGTGGCGGGGAGAGATGAGGCTATAGAGGGACGTGGCAGCCAGACCACTCAGTCCTTCCAGGACACATGAAGGATCCTGGCTTTAGCCTAAGAGTAACAAAAAGCCATTGACTAAGATGGGGGTGACAAACATGTTTTTAAACAATCACTCAGGCTACACCGTGAGGATTAGGAAAGAGTGAAAGTGAGGATGCCAGCTAGGAGGTGAATAACACCCTAAAAAGACATTCAAATTCAGGCAATAACAAACACTTATGAATGACTAAATGCACTCTAACTCAGAGGACAGTAGAAAGAACAAGGACTTCAGAATTAGAAGATCTGAGTTCTAATGGCATCTTCAATACCAATCAGTGGGAGTGGGAAGCAGAGCAAGGTCAGGAAGGCCATACAGGTGTCAGACCCTGGCTGGGTCACTCCAGAACCGGACATCCTGTTGCTTAACTGGACCATGTTTGCCTAGTAAGTAAATGTCAGGCGATAGCTAGCTCACAAGGAGTTAACCTTTAGCAAGGTTAAATGGTGATTTATGCCAATGGAGTAGCTAAGTAATATATCTCCCTCATGTGGAACTGCTATCACTACCATTACAATATGATTTTGGGTAAGTCATTTTCTGAGCTTCAGTTCTTCACCAACGCGAGAAGCCACTGTAGAGGAGTCCAATGCCTCTGCAAACTCTAAAAGTTCAATATTCAAGTAGTATAGATCCGTGTGACTGGGGGAGGCGGGGGCAGAGGTTGGGACCTGAAGACAAGACAAAAAGAATCTGGAGGGAATGAGAGCTGATAAGGCAGCCGGTGGAGGAAAATACCAGGAGGCTTCGGTTGTGTGGCTGATTGTGGTACATGCTTACCTGGTATCCACTCTTTTGGGTGGAACTTCCAGGAAAGCTATTGTTTTCCTGATAAAAGGGACAACTCAAGTGGCCTGGCCTTTGCCCTTTACCCTTCCCCCTTCCTTCCTGCCTGGGTCACAGAAGCAACATCTGGAGGTTGAGTAACTCTCCTGCAAAACTGGCTGAAAGCTGTAGTTCAAGGTAGTGGGACGGGAAGTCTGAAGGAACCCGGGCCCTTGGTCTCTTGCTTGGGATGCAGCACGGGCCCTCAACGGCCTGCCTTCTGGGCTGTCACGTGGGCTTCCTGACATTTTGATAAGGCACTGTTGCTAGCGTCTTTAACAAGAGCTGGGGACAAGGAGATGAAAGGTGTATGTTTATCTAGTATTCTGGGACTTGGGGCACGCGTGGCGGGAAGGAGGAGTGCGAGATAAGGAACGCAAGAGCACACAAAAAAAGAATGAAAAGTAGGTAGAAATGGCTATCAACCAGGAATAAAACTGAACCCCCTGGAAAATGTTCTTAATGTAGAGCATCTGTGGATAGAATTCAGTGAATCTATATTTTCACCAACCTCTGAAATTTAGCATTTCCTCTTATTATGAATGCAGGGCAAAAAAGCATAGTGGGATTAGCAGTTCCTATGACTTGGGTCACCAATGGAAATAATGACTGTCATTCTACACAGCCTGAATTATTGTTTACGCTCATTACTTTGCAGTGGTCGGAGTTATTAAACTCACCACTAGCTTCAGTTGTCTTGTTACTTGCTGCATTAGTAAAGTACATATTCCCATATTACATCCTCACAACTAGGGAAAAGCTGCAAAAGAAAGGGATTTTTTGTTTATTACATCTAATTGCCCAAAGGTCCCAAGGCTGCCTGAGTAAAACCTGCACACACAGTCCTGCACCCAATTTAAATGAAAACCCAGCAAACACTGTTAAGGAAGCTGTGGGCAGGGCCAGTGAGGGATGAAATAGGAGCAACTGTGTCCGTGTCTGGGCACAGATTCTGTTACACCTAACGTATCATGTTTCTGGAATCATGATTTGAATCAAAGAAGATCAAACCCCGTGAAATAACGAGGCACACTGCAATGCAATGCTACATTTTTTAAAAAGCAACTCTGACATTTTTCTGACAAGCAATTCAACCATTTCCTTCAACAAGGCAAAAAGCATTCTGAAGGCACTGCAACAACAACCAGCTGACAAAATACCTGGGCAATTTTTAAGCAGTCAGGAGACGACCTGACTGGGGGACTGCTGAAGCGGGGCCCAGAGGGGCAACACCCTGCTTCGGGGAACACCTTTGCACAGCAGGGCTAGAAACTCTGCTATAGCTAACTTTCAAAATGCAATTAATCATTTTCACAACTAAAACTTGTAAAACATAGTTTTTCCACAAAGAAAGTTTGTTTCTTACTAAAGACTAAAAAATCCAGCACTGTTTGATGCAGGGTTCACTCCCAGCCCAATTAAGTCAGTCAGTCTGAAGGTGGGGCCCTACCACTGAGCTTTTTTTAAGCTCCCCAGTGGATCCTAAGAGCTGCCCAAATTGAGAACCCCTGGTCTAATAGAAAGGGGGCCCGTAAGCAGTTCCGGAAACCCTCATCCTAGTCTCAGATCTGCCATCGGTTGTCTGTGTGACCCTGGATGAGTCACTTACATCTCCCTGAACTGACCAGAACAGCAGTGTCCAAACTGTTTCTTGTTTCCGAAGTGGTACCTTAGGAAAGAGGAAGTGGGTGTTTAAAGGATAAGGTCCCGTTGACTATTAGTCCAGCCAGAGCAGCACAGATGTGTCAGTTATAAACATCAGGGGTTTGCAAAAGATTTTGGACAAAAGGATTCAACTGTTCATACTAATTTTTGAAAGCTTTTGGACTAGGTAAAACCAAATTCATCAAGAGACTTCAAAATCTTCAGTGTCCTTCTATGGCAGGGAACTTAAAGCATGGGATGCATTATTTGGGAAACTACAACCACAAAGGGGGCCCTCCCCACATGCTTTAGATGCCAACTCAGCTCTTAAAGCCTACGAGACCATCAAGTAACAGAAACATCGAGTTACGGGGCTACAGCACTCTTCCGGTCATTTAATAAACCTTACATAGCAGGCAATATTCTAAATGCTTTATAAATATTAGCTCATTTAATCCTACCACAATCCATCCTGGGAAGAGCCACCCTATGACGTGTGGTTATCATTCCCATTTTATAGAGAAAGAAAAGGAGGAACAGAGAATCTAACCATTTAAGGGTACCACCTTTAAGAGATACAGCTGGGAGCAGGTTCCATGCTCTGAGCCATCAACCCCTTGCTCAGCTGAATACCCTCATGCACACTCTACCTGGGGGGAATGCTTTGTCTAATGTACACGTACCACTTAGATCTGCTTCTCCTCTCTGCAACCTGAGTTGTAACCAGAGTGATTTTTTCTAAAACACAAAATCTGACCATATTTCTTTTACCAGCCTAACCTCCTCCTTTGTAGGCTGGCTCCAATCTATGAGCCAGTTTGCAATCTCTGATGTAGTCTCTGATTCTCTCTTCACATTCTGTCACTCCAAATCCCACCCACCAAACTATGGCACTTGTAGCTCATCACAAACCACCCTCATCCTTTGCCTGACCTCCCCATCCCCCACCTA